CGCTGCTTGGACTCCTCAGACTGGGACTATAAACTGGCTGCTTTCCTTTTCAGCCAGCAAACTACACCCCACACCACTACGGGGCGCAGTCCGGCAGAGCTACTTCTCGGCCGCCGCCTGACAACCCGGCTGGATTACCTGCACCCCGACCAGGCCTCTGCAGAGGCACCAGCCACGGAGACACACAAGGCAGCCAGGGGATTCTTCCCAGAGAATCCCATGTACACCAAGAACTACACCCGGGGACCAGCCTGGATTCCGGTGCGAGTAGTATGAATTAAAGGTCCAAGATCGTACGAGGTTTCTTGTGAAGACGGGCAGATACTACACCGGCACATTGACCAGTTACGCCGCCGGAAGATGCCATTGGAACCCGAGGACTTGGACATTGCGGAGGCCTCGGATACCTCAGCCCTTCCACAACCGCCTGCAATCGAACACCTGCCTCTACCCTCGGTTGGACCCGAGGCACCTCTCTCAGCGGCACAGGGGATGCCAGCAGCGCCCCCTCAGCGCCTGTCCCGGTCAGCTCACCTCCGAGGGCTCCAGGGATGGAGACTGCAACAGTTCCCGAACTTCACCGCTCTACCGCACCACAAAGTTACCAGCCCATTTGAAGGACTTTGTCTGTGGGTGTATTTCAGACCAAGGGGGTTGGGGTGTAATGTATCCAGTTCAGACCGTGTGGCCAGCTTGGGCTCCACGCAGTCCAGCGCAAACGACGAGCTTCGCTCAAAGAGACAATGGACTATGCGGATCCTAGCCCGCGCCAATCAGTGGGCTAGGTTCCCGGCCGAGAGCCTATGGAACTCTCGGCCACTGTAAATAACCTATTGGGAAGTGGGGGGGTGTTATGGGTGGCCGTTCCAAGGGACATATAAGCTGGCCTGCGAGCCGGCTAAAGTTGTCTTGTTCCTGATCTAATAAAGTACGCTAAGCTGAAATCACTCATCCGTCTGCGTACTTTTCAGAGTGGCTGCAAGGAGCAGTGGAGGACAAGATTGGAGGCCCAGCAGCAACACGTGGGCAACTTTCTTCAGGCAAGAAGATGGCAACCAGGGATGGTTCCAGGCCTAGGAGGGCCCTGGGCAAAGAGTGCCCAGGCCCCCTTCCCTTTCCTCACCGGACAACCACCAGGACCCCTGCTCATGCCTTCCTTCTAGCCCACCCACACCCTGACCTGACCATGTGTCCTTCCTTCCCCGGCCCATTTTTGAGCCTTCATGCGGGCTGTATGCTCCTTCTGTGACGGTGCTGTGCAGGTGGGAATACCACCACAGTGCCTGCCAGGACAGCCACCATTACACACCCCCTGCACGTCCTTCCCTGTTCACCTGGGGTTGGGGGCCTTGGTAGCAGCACACCCTGCTCAAAACCCTGGGCCCCGCCAGCTGCCCTGCCCTGACGACACCCTGAAAGTAATTTCGATTCCAGATCAGGCACCAGAATCATCAAGAAGAGAAAGGCCAGACCAAGACAGAATGACACCCGTCTCCCTTCAAGATGCCCATCCCAGAGACAGCGAGGAGTAATCTTAAGAAGTGATACCTTTAAACTAGATTTCTGAGTTGCCTAATTTAACTAAATTATCCAGTAGTGATCACTTCAAATTGTTTTTGCATTTTTAAAAAATTACAAACCATTGCCAATTTTTTCTGAAAACCATCAAATATTTCCAGTCTTCCCTCTCTATATTTAATCAGCTGCTTGTTCTGTTCCCAGGAACCCAAACTTTAGGAATCTCTGCACTGGATTGTCAGAAATGTCACAGTCTTTAAAATGAAGTTTTGAGGCTCCTCAGAAAAAAAGAAACCCGAAAACTGCCTGTCTATTATTGAAACTCGTACCTGGCTTCTAGCCAGGTCTGGAGAGCAGTTAGCCTCAATGCCTGTTTTCTTTTGCTGCTCCAAACTAACAGGGCTGCCCACCTAGGATGACAGTGATTTGTGTCCCCTGTTAGTTCTGCTTGCTGTGTAACAGGAGTGTCTGCAGTGGTCCTATTGCATTAGCCAGAAGTCCCTGCCATTCCAACATGAACATGCAACTCAGTAGCAGGTATAAAGATATTTTAAAATTTGCATTACAAACAAGGTCTCATTGCAGTAGACAAATTCACATTTAGTTACCATAAATGGTAACCGCCCAGAGACCCCCACGGGGGTTAGGGCGGTATATCAAATCGAAGTAATAAATAAATAAATAAATAAATAAATAAATAAATAAACTTTGCAAAACAGATCCTAACTTTACAGGCAGCCAAGGCAAATCACCCTCATATTCCGTCCCTGCAACAGAAGCTGAAAGGGGTGTTCTTTACCAGGCAATGCTATTTACTTCCCTGCCGTGAAATGCTTTGACTGCCTACTTCCACAAATTAAGCCTCTGTTAAAACAACAGAACATGTTTCTCCAGGCCTGTTGGCAACAGTACTGCTATTACATAACAAAAGTTCAGTTGTGCCGAAATAGAAACCATCACATCCAATCCCTGAGATAACAAACAATTTCTTGCTTTGCAAGACAGGTCTTCAGGGGGAAGCAAATGGGATAGACTTAAGTTGTCCTTTCTCACAGATACAAACACGGGATTATTCCATCCTTTTCTGACTCCCCACCTCCACCTCCACCGCCGCCACTATAGCCACTCTGTTCATTTGCTGCAAGGACTGTTGCTTGGCTCCCTTCCTGCCAGTGGAGATGTTGGCCTTCTCCTCCATGCTCCCCCCCCCCCCGGGCTCTCCTCTCTCTGTCCCTTTGTCTCTGTCCCCTCAGCTCTGTCCTGTGCACACTGACCCCACCCACCCCCAGGAAGTAAGGGGGCTTGATTCTTACCTTTGCTTTGTCAGACAATTTTGGAGGACCAACAAGGGACGTATCCAACAAGAGAAGAAGCAAGCTCAGGAAAAACAAGACGTTCTGTGGCCAACGTCCAAGCTTGTGGCTTTGGGATGCCAGAAAAGCCAGCCAGCCTCTTAATAGTTAGGCCATGAGACTCCCCACCCCACTGAGCTCCCCCTTCTTCTATCAGCAGTCCATTACCAAATTCCAGGGAACAGCACTCAGGCATAATGGGAAATGACAAACCAGATGTGTCTTGGACAGCATATTCTGCCTCTGTCTCCCACTGTTCCTGTTACAGCCTGAAAGGACAGTATTGTGCTGGAAATATGCAGGGTTCTGATGTTCTTGGCAGGACAGCACCACAAGAATGTTGAGCAAGAGAAGGAGAGAAAGAGCACAGTGCCTTACCTTCCTGTCCTTCAGCCTAATGTTAGAGACGATGCACCAGAATCACCCTCTCTGCAGCCTTCTTTTCCATATCTATCAGTCACAGTCCAACATTGGGGGGGGGGGCGGGATTTTGTTGGAACAACAGCATTTCACATCCTCCTTCTAGTTATGTCAAGATGACACCAAGCCCCCAACTGCTATACCCATCAAGAATTTTGGAGCGGGGAAAGAGCCTGGGACAGAAGGCAAATATTGGCTGTTTTCCCAGATAGCCCGTCAGGTGGAAGAACCGGTCCTGCCAACTTGGCACCTGTCATCCTGGCATGGTGCACTTTCCCTCCCAGCTGGTGAGAAAAATTTGAAGCTGGCACAGCCAAGACTAGCAGGCTTGGCTGTGCCAGCTTCAAATTTTACCCACCAGGCAGCTTTGTGCCTGGGGTGGCTGGGAAAGGGGACTTCTGCCTGTCCAGGCCTTCCCGTCTGCACCACAGGACAGGCAGCAGAAGGCAACAGCATCTGCTTAGAGGCATTGTCCCTCCTCATCTGAGGTCACTTCTTTGGGGCCCAGCACACACACAGCTTGTCTCGGCGTTTCTTGCCTTCCTCCCTTGCCCCTTGGACTGCTGGCATGGAATCCTGGTCCCCGGCCCGGTCTCAGCCCTCACACCTCGGATTGGAACTCACTCACCTAATGGGTTGTTGAGGGCGAGAAAATGAGCCCAGTGGGGTAGGTAAACAGAAAAGGCCATGACTGGTGTCGTATACTAACTATGGCTGTGAACCAACCAAGCTTCGCTCTCTCCAAACAATAGCCAGAGAGGATCCGAGAACGGGCCAATCGGTCAGTTCAGATCCTTGTGTGTACCTATGGGAATGGGCACTATGTAAATAAACCAATCACGGGTGTGTGGGTGTGTTGGATGTGGTATGGAATGGACATTTAAGCAGGCCTCCGGCCCAGCTTGTCCATTCTAGTTTCTCTTGCCTATAATAAAAGTATGAGCTGATTCACTATCTACATGTCTGGACCCAGTACTTTACACTGGCGACGAAGGTGGGATCCCGTGAGCATGCCTGACCATGCATCCGACTCCGCAGTCTGCACCGAGCATTGCACTGCGCCGTGAGACAGCTTATTGTGCCCCACATCGCTCCTCCAGTTATCACTGTCTTCGATCCATCCCACCCCGAGCTGTGGGAAGCCTGGGTCGAACAACTAAAGTACTTCTTCGAGGTCCAAGGGATGACCGATGCCAGTAAGAAGAAAGCATGGCTGCTAAGCACGTGTGGGATCAGCACAATCCGCCTGGTCCAGAGTCTAATCATGCCCAAGACTCTGGAAGCAGCCACCTACGAGGAACTGGTAAAGACTTTAACCGACCATTTTGCGCCTAAACCATCCAAAATAGCGATGCGCATGGACTTTTTTGCGCGAAATCAAAGGTTGGGAGAATCGGCCACAGACTTCATGGTTGACATCCACAGACTGGTGATTCATTGCGAGTTTCCTGCCATTGAGGATGCCCTGTTGAACCAGTTCATCTGGGGCATCCGAGACCAGAAGCTCTGCAGGAAGCTTGTCGGCTTTGATGACATCACATTGGACAAGGCACTTCGAGCGGCCACTGCTTTTGAAAAAGCCCAATGGGATCGCCAGGCACCCTCCGCACACCAGACTTCAGACTCCCCGGCATCAGATGCCTCAGACGGGAAGGAGATTCTACAGGTACGCCGTCCAGCCCGCTGGGATGACTGCCGGCCACCAGCAGCTACTTCACAGGCTCCAAACGCCGTGTGCCAGCTGTGGGGAAGCACATGAACACCATTTGTGCTGTTTCTGGAACGCGATCTGCAGAACCTGTGGCAAGGCTGGACACGCCACACAGATATGCCACTCCTGAGGGTCCCAATGATGGATGACAATACACCACCAGGACAGGGCAGAGCTCCATACGACGATCTCAAACCACCAACATCAGGTAATGAATTTGCCACAGGACGCCCCTAACAAAATTAATGTCTGGGTAATGATCGAGGGGTCCCCATGCGAGATGTAGTTGGAAATGGGCTCTTCCTTCTTCATCATCTCGGCGGAGATGCTTAGGAGAATCTGTCCCCGGGGGGACCCCTCCTAGAGAAACCGGCTGGCCTCACCTTACGGGACTTCCAGAAAAACCCAGTGGCTGTCAAGGGGTGGGGCAAATTCAGAGTCCAGTATAAGGACTTTAACGGACTACTAGACTTGCTGGTAGTGAAAGTCTGACTCACCAGCCTGCTAGGACTGTCATGGTTTGGACCCCTGGGATTCAGGGTGACCGGGGTAAACCACGTGTGGCCACAGGACTTTAACATTGTGTGCAATGAGTTCCCGGCCGTATTTGATGGGATGCTTGTGACACTGGCCCTCTGGTCTGTCTCGATCTCGACCCCGCAGTATGGCCCATCCAAATGAAGGCCAGACGGTCCCCCTTCACCCTACGACCTAAAATAGACATTGAACTCGATCGCCTGGTGGAACAGGGGGTCCTAGAACCGGTACCACATGCACGGTGGAAAACACCTATTGTCACCCTGGTAAAGCCCAATGGGGACGTCCGGATATGCATGGACTACAAATGCATGATTAATAAAGCACTCCAGGATCATGCATATCCGTTCCCCATTGTCATCCATGTCCTCGCATCCTTGGCCGGTGCGAAAGTCTGTGGAAAACTAGATTTGGCGCAGGCATATCAGCAGCTGCCAGTGGACGATGCCACCTTGGAGGCCCAAACTATAGTGACCTACAGGGGGGTGTTCCATGTCTGGTGGCTGCAGTTCAGGGTCAGTGTAGCCCCGGGGATCTTCCAAAACCTAATGGACTGTTTGCTCAAAGGTATCCCCGGGGTCGGACTTCCGGTTTAAGTGTTTCGATGCTCGGACACATCTTGTCTTGCTCTTATGGAGAGGTGCCAAGACCCGGCTGATGGGAGGGGTCCGAGTTCGTCCCGGACCTCCCCGGGGTCTCTGTAGAAGACCCCCAGCCTGGGGAGGTGAGGAGAGCCTCTTCCAAGGTGACAGCCAAGGAATTGAGGCTCAACTTCTTCCCCGAAAGGTACTGTCGCCACAGAGCCAGTATGGTGCCCAGAGACGACTGCTGGAGCAAGCAATCACGATCAAACTTTTAAAATGCTTCCAAAAGATCTCCAAGGCTCCAAACTGTGAGTTAAACAAAGCTCAGGTGAAAAAAGTGAACTGAACCTTCGTAGTAATTGGAAGCGCTTAAGTTTGAAGCGCTGGGGGAGAGGAATTCAAGCACCCCCCCCTCTTTTGAGTAAACTTTAAAAACAGTTTTAAATCGGAAATAAAAAGACTTTGAACTAAAATAAACACATAAGAAGTTAAGTGAATGCAAAAACTGCTAAAGTATACAAAGCAGGACTAAATTGCATAACTTTTGTCTTGTTTTGGAAAACTTACTTCATGTTGATATTATGGCTGGGAGAGAATGGAGGGCACCGGAAAAAACCTGGTGACCGGAAATAACATACCAACGACTGCCTCCCAGAACCAGGAAGTAACTACAGACTTCTCTTCACTGTTAGCAAATGCACTGCGCCCCCTAATGGATCAGATGACTAACCTCAACACTAAGTTGTCCAAAAACAACTGAATCAAATGGATAAAAGAACCTCAGCAACTGAGAAAATGTTGAAAAAGATGGAAAAATGGACTGAGAGCATTAACAAAAGAGTGGATGAAGCAGAGAAGGAAAGATCCTTTGATAAAACACAACTGATACAGCTCCAGGTGGAAAGATCCATGTACGTTTTACGTTTCCATGGGATCCCTGAAGAGAAGAACGAGGATTTAAAAGAACTTTTTGCAGTTGCCTTGGCCCCATTAATGGTTTATAAACAAGAAGATTTAATAAAAGAAATGGATGTGCCTTATAGGACTTATCCGGACTTCATAAAAAACAAACTCCCGGGGGAAACCTACCTAAAATTCATGAAACGCTCTACCAGAGAACTGGTGCTAAAGTCAACAATGGGGAAATCCTTAAAAATCAAGAATGAAGACGTAATTTTTTGAAAGATATCCCTTTCAAAGTTAGAAAATGGAGGAGACTCTACATGATGTTTACTCTCACTCTGCAAAAAAAAGGGAATACCATATAAATGGCTATTCCCAGAAGGGTTAAGCTTCAATTACCAGGACAAAAAATATAAAATTGCCTCTGTTCCAAAAGTGGAAAAAATTATGGATCGAACATCCAACACAAAAAAGAAGCATAAGGAAAAGAAGTTAAAACTGGATGGGGAGGAAGAAGAGGAAAAAGAAGAATCCTACTCACAGGATTCAACAAGCCAAAATTCCACGTCATCAGAATAATCTGAATCGGAGAAAGGAGAAGCCGCCCCCAAACTCCAGAAAACGAAGAAATGCAAGAAGAAAAGACTCTAGAACTAAGACAATAGTACTAAAGGCAGTAATTGTTTTAAGCTATTAAATGTGTACTATCATAATTGAACCAAATCTTGATAAAACATGTAATATTAGGTTAAAAAGCATTATTTTTTCAACTACTCAGATCGTGATATGTATTAGACTTTTCCCTTTCCCCAAATCCAGTAGATCAAATAGATTAGAATAGCAGTATTCCTTCCCCTTTCAAGTAGTT